CTCCGCCTGCTGGGTTCAAGCAATTCTCCTGCCTCAGCCTCCCGAGTAGCTGGAATTACAGGCATGTACCACCACACCCAGCTAATCTTGTTTTTTTAGTAGAGACTGAAATGTTGGCCAGGCTGGTCTCGAGCTCCCGACCTCAGGTGATCCACGCCTCGACCTCCCAAAGTGCTAGGATTACAGGCATGAGCCACCACACCTATCCTGTTATCACCATTAATGGATATTGGATTTTGTTAAATGCTTTTTCTGCGTCTATTGAGATGTTCATAGTTTTTTCTTTTTTATTCTGTTAATATGGCGAATTACTTCTATTAATTTTCAAATATAAGCCAATCTTGCATTCCTGGAGTGAACCCTACTTCATTATGATGTATTACCATTTTTATATCCTGCCGGATTCAATTTTCTAAAATTTTGTTAAGAATATATGTGCCAGGTGTGGTGGCTCATGCGTGTAATCTCAGCACTTTGGGAAGCCAAGGCAGGCGGATCACTTGAGGCTGGAAGTTTGAGACCAGCCTGGCCAACATGGCGAAACCCCATCTCTACTAAAATTACAAAAATGGGCCGGGCACAGTGGGTTATGCCTGTAATCCCAGCACTTTGGGCTGTCTCTTATACACATCTAGATGTGTATAAGAGACAGGGCTAGAGTGCAGTGGCGCAGTCTCAGCTCACTGCCAGCTCCGCCTCCTGGGTTCACGCCATTCTCCTGCCTCAGCCTCCCGAGTAGCTGGGCCTACAGGCGCCCGCCACCACGCCCGGCTAATTTTTTGTATTTTTTAGTAGAGATGGGGTTTCACCATGTTAGCCAGGATGGTCTCAATATCCTGACCTCATGATCCGCCCGCCTCGGCCTCCCAAAGTGCTGGAATTACAGGCATGAGCCACCGCACCAGGCCTAATTTTTGTATTTTTTTAGTAGAGATGGGGTTTCACCATGTTGGCCAGGCTGGTCTTGAACTCCTGACAAGTGATCCACTCGCCTCGGCTTCCCAAAGTTCTAGGATTACAGATGTGAGCCATCATGCCTGGTTTTGTTTGTTTGTTTGTTTGTTTGTTTGGGAGACAGAGTCTCTGTCGCCCAGGATGGAGGGCAGTGGTGCAGTTTTGGCTCATTGCAGCCTCTACCTCCTGGGCTGAAATCATCCTCCCACCTCAGCCTCCCGAGTAGCTGGGACTACAGGTGTGTGCCATCATGCCCAGCTAATTTTTGTATTTTTTGTTGAGACAAGGTTTTCCTGTGTTGCCCAGGCTGGTCTCAAAATCCTGAGCTCACATGATTTGACCACCTCAGCCTCTCAGAGTGCTGGAATTACAGATCTGAGCTACAGCACCCAGCCTGAATTATTTTATTTTTTGATGATATTGTAAATAGTATTTTAAAATCTCAACTTCCAGTTGTTCATTGCTAATACTTGTAAACACAGTTGACTTTTATATGTTGATTTTATATCTCATTACCTTGCTAAATTCACTTTTTAGTTCAAGTAGATTTTTTTTACAGATTTGTGAGAATGTTCTTCATAAACAGTCATTCTGTCTACAAATACATTGTTACTTCTTCTTTTTCAATTTGTAAACTTTTTATTTCTTTTTCTTCCATTTTTGTACTGGCTAACACCATTAGTATAATGTTGAATGAAAGTGGTGGACGTCCTTGCCTTATTCCCAACTGGCAGAAAACATTTGGTGGGTCACTACTTAGTATGATATTTCTTGTAGTGATCTCCTAGGTGCCTTTTATCAAGATGAGGAATTTCTTTCTAGATTACTAAGCGTTTTATTGTTTATTATTACTTTTTTTTTTTTTTTT